GCTGTGATCAGCCCCTACTGCCTCCTGAATTTTTTCAAATTTTGCTTGGCATATACTTAAATGGGCCCAAATCAGTATCTGAATTTTTGACCCCGTTGGCCAGCCCTGGAGCGTCAGCCCCTCAGGCCAGAGGTGACAAGGAGCCCTTGGGCACACAGCAGGATGGAGGGCATACAGTGGGGAGTCGTGGGCTTTCTGCCTTGAAAGGCTAATGGGGCTCCTCTCTCTCCCTCTTCAGGATGAAGTGATGCCCCTGCTGTAAAAGAGGAGCCTCTAGGACCTGCTACAAGGTAAGGCCTGAGCCCCTTCCCTGACCCTGTGCCCCGCCTCCACTGGTGAACCTTGGCCTGCCTACCACAGGTATCCCCCTGGGCAGAACATCCAGGAAGGGTTGGGAAGATCAAGACCGGGAGTTGGAGCCACGTTGCCCATTTGAACCTGGTGGAAAAGATGACCTCAGCGGGAACGTCTCAGATCGGCTCTTAAGCTGGGAATGGGCTGGGGACACCCGGATTGCAGGCTTTGGGCATAGAATGTATTCAAGGCAACAGTGAGAAGGGGCCTCTGCGGTGCCAGGGCTCGCCTGCCTGGTCGCACCATGCCCAGCTAGCTCTCTGCAGCTCGGTCAGCTTGCCATGGTGGCTGCTGTTGGCTCTCCCTGGAAGCTCTGCTTCTAGCTCAGGCGCGTGGGGGACCTCGTGGACTTGAAAGCCCTCTCTCTGCAGAGGCTGCTGGCCCCCGTGGCCTCCTCCTTCCTGCATGAGAGGCTGGCAGGCAGAAGGCCTCAGGCCCTGAGCCCAGGGCAGGCTGCTGTCTTGCCCTTCCCCAGGGCTCCCCAGGCCTGGCTGGGCCTTCACAGGCTATCACAGTCCCGGGTGGCTGAGGAACCTCAGGGCCACCGGGCCTCGGCCTCAGGCAGCGCTGTGTCAGAGGTGACCGGTGGAACGCCAGTGTTATGTAAATATAGGGGCCTGCACGGCAGGCGAGCGGGCTGGCTGCAGCCATCCATCATCCTTGCTCGGCGGGGCGGGGGACAGACACGGCACCGTGCGCCTGGCTCCAAACCTGTTTGTTTTCCCTTTGTCTCATGCCTTTCGGCCGGCTGCGACTGGCTCCCAGTTTCATCCTGCTTGGCCCCCTCCCCTGGGAGGATGGGGGAAGGGAGGAGATTCGAGAGGCTCCCACCGCGGCATCCCTTTCGGACTTCAAAGGCTCCCCCAGCATTGTCTGTGCCGGCGGGCAGTGGCCCTGAAAACGTGATCAGAGGCGACCAGTGTAGGGCAGGCCCGGCCAGCGCCCTGCGCTCTCACTGGGGCCCATGGATTCCTCCCTTTGCTGCCAGCACCACCCTGGTTACAGCGCCGCTCCCCCGGGCCTCTCTCCTCGCCCTCCTCTCCCCTGGCATCCCTGCTGGCCAGCCCAGCCCCACTGCCCTACTCCTGTGTCTCTTAACCACAGCCTCACACCGCTCTCGTGGCATGGAGACTCCTAGAACGTTGGGAGCTGCAAGTCTCCGCCCCTTCATGTCATCCATGAGAATCCGAAGCACAGTGAAGGGCTTCTTGGGATGCAGGCAGCTGGGACGGACAGGTTCTTGGACATCTGTTTCCCATGCCAGCGCTTGTCCTTTTTCCTCTTCTTTTTCTCCACCCTTTACTAGTAGTCAGGGAGAACCTGACTTCCACCCATCCCTTCCCTCCACTATCTGGCAAGGTCCAGATCGGATACTTCTGTCCCCAGACATTGGAACAGAGCCCAGCATCACTGGTCCTGAAAGTCAGCCCTAGGTGCTTCCATTCTCTGGAGCAAGACTTGACAAAGTACAGCCCACAGGCCAAATGTAGCCCACTGCCTGTCTTTGTAAATAAAGTTTTATTGGAACACAGCCACGCCCACTCCTTTTCTCATTGGCTACGGCTGCTTTCACTTTACAATGGCAGAGGTGGGTGGCTACAACAGAGGATGTTGGCCCGCAAAGCCTAAAATATTTACCATCTGGCCCTTAACAGAAAACGTTTGCTGGCTCTTGCTCTAGAGGTTCTGGCTCCTGCCTCCTGCTCTTTTTTTTTTTTTAAGTGGCAAAATATACATAACATGAAATTTACCATTGTAACCATTTAAGTGTACGGTTCCCTGGTATTAAAAACGTTCACAATATTGTGTAACCATCATCCTGCTCTGTGCCCTTGTCTTCCGTGGGACTGCTGCGAGGGGCCCGGGCAGTTATCTGGGAGCCCCATCCTGGAGGTCGTGGACCGCTTGCAGTCCTGATCTACTGGGGGCTGTCCTCTCTGTCTCTCCTCTCTCTAGGGCCTCATCCTCCTCTCAGTCCCACCTACCTAGCAGCCACTGTTTTTTCAAAGCTCTTACTCCTGTCATCCCAGGAGCCCTGAGTCTCTGTCCTGTAGCCTTTACCAAGTTCTCAGATCCATCTTTTCCTCTTCTCTAAGGTGAGCAGAATATCTACTTTGCAGGGTTATCGGGACAGTAAAGGAGTTAATGTAGCTGAAGGTGTCTAGCCTGGGGCCTGACAAGCAGGAAGTGCCCATGTCCCCTCCTTCCCTCGTGCCTTTTCTCCTCACAGAGTAGCAGCCTGGGCAGGTCCATGGCGTCCCCTACCCCTGCCCCAGGACCTAAGTCTGACTCCTTAGAGAAAGCGAGGCTCCCGCCTCCCACTGGTAGTGACCTGGGAGCTGCTGGAGATCTCAGGTCAGCCCTGGGTCCTCCATGATGGCTGCCAGGCCTGGGAAGCTGCATAACCTCTCCGAGTGCCAGTTTCTCTGTCTGTAAAAGGGGTCCTGACCATCATGCTCTCTGCTTCACAGGCTCGTTGCAAGCAGGGACTAGGGAGTTCAGGGGAAAGCTGTGAAGGTTGTGTTTGTGGGTGCTGCTGAGGGTGCAGCAGCAGGTTATGTGGCGGGGCAGGGACCACGGCTGCTCTGACACATCACTAGTGCTGCGAGCGAATCCGGGAGCCAGGCTCCAAGCCCTGGAGGAAAGGCTGGCAGGGAGCGAGGAAGGGGGAAGGGAAGGAAATGAAGCTGTGCAGCAGTCAGAGGTCTGAGACGGGAGCCGTGTCCTGGCACAGTTCACTGGGCGCCCTCTCCTGCTGCCATCCCTCTCACTGTCCTCTCTTTATGGGTTTCTGGCCTTTCGTGTAGCTCCCTTTCCCCCTCCAAACCTTCTCTCTGCATCCCACTAGTTTCTCTTTCTCCTCGCCTTCCCACCACCCATACTGCCACCCCCCAACTCCGCGGCGCGTGCTCTCTCTCCTTTTCATCTACTCCGAAGGCTTTACTTTACTTCCTTGTCACCCTAATTGATTGCATTAACCTTTCAGCGTATTGGATTTCCTGGGCATCGTGCAGAGAGCCCTGCGCAATATGCTTATAATCTGAGCCGTAATGGACAGTTTGCAGTCAACAAGCCCCTTTTCCCATCTCTGCCATTGGTCCCGTTGACATCTCTCTTGCCCAGGCCACCAAGGCCACTTTTCCGTCCAGCAGGGGTGAGGCAGTGCAGTGGGACTGGAAGGAAGCAGACACAGCTTAATCCTACAGTGGATTTCCCTCCCTCTCGCCTCCTGGCTCAGCCCCCGGCTCTGCCTCTGCTTCTCCAAGCTCCCGGACCCAGGTCCTTGCCCGGCCTCTGGTCTTCGTGAGTCCTCTCAGCTCGGCACTCTGCTCCTGGGACTCTGCCTAGTGAGTGGCTGATGATGCCATCTTGGATTTGGGGAATAAGAGTCCTCTGATTCTATCAAAAGATTCTCCGGACAAATCATCGCTCCCTTGCTTGCCTGGGAGGCTTTAGGGGAAAAATGATGGTGACCACTTGAGGAAGTAGAGAGTAGCAAAGAGGAGTCTGAGATCTCTGGGTTCCCCTGTCCCCTGAGCCAACCTCAGGCCTCTGTGGACCTTCTGGAAGCTGGATCCACTCCTGGAAAGGGTGTGGGAAAACAAGGGAGACAGAACGAAGGAGATCTGCTAAAGCCAAGGGAAGAGAGAGACGAAGACCCTGCCGGGGCTGGCCATAGTCGTGGGGCAGCAACAGCCTGGCCCAGTAAGCAAAGAAGCAGGCACCCAGATGCCCAGTTTGGGCCGTCTGCTGCACTGGTCCCGGGACTATGATTTGGGTGCTCGGTGGGAGATGTCGCAGAGTCTCTCTTTCCCATCTGATGTTTGGCAGTAGCTTTGTGCAGCCCCACCCGCCTTCATCAAAAGGAGACGTGACACAAGCAATAGCGTGATAGCCTGGAGAGGAGCCGCTGCGGGGCAGGATGGCTCGGCCTGACAGGAGACTGGCAGAGGGAAGGCAGGAGAAAATGAGAGCTGGCTTCTCAGGTTGGTGAGAACGGGCCCCCTGGGGTCAGTTCCCTGATAGGCACCTGCTCATTCAGCAGCAGGCGAAGGAGCCAGTCCATGCCAGCTGCCTGGTCCTGGGAGCTCAGTGAGTCCAGGCCCGTAGGTTCTGGCTGGGGCCGCTGGCCCTCGGACGCCCTCAGACGCACAGCCTGGTCTGCTGAGTCTTCATTCACAACAGGATGGATGTCGGATTGAATACATTAGTGTCAGGCCGGAGGAGCAGGACGGAAGGTCCCTTTAGCCCTTGTGGTACTTCCTCTCTCCCAAGCTGGTCTCTCCCCACCGCCCTCTGCCCATCATCTTCTCCTTCTGACCAATCCCCGCTCCTGCCATCACTCCATCACTCAAAAGGGCAAGCTTTGGCAAGAGGGAGCTGGACTAGGTCCTTCCCATCCTCTCCCAGGGATTTTGGGGGTAGGCAGAGGGCGCAGCAGGGAGAAGCCAAGCAGCGAATTAAAGTTTGGTGATTGTCAGTGTCAGGAGAAGCTAAATAACCCTGTAACTAGTATGAAGGTGAATTCATGGTCTGCTGCACATGGAAAATATGAGTGCTCTGTGAGACGGGGAGAGTGAACGGCAGTCTGCCTGCCACGGTGGGCAGCCTTCTCTCCAGGGACGCAGGCGGGGAGGGCCATGCACCCTCCCATCCCTGCCAGGGAGCAGCCTCCCAGGAGCCCCGACTGAGTATGAGGGCAGCTCAGCTGCTTGACAACCTGCTGGCCTGGCACCAGGGACCCAGGTGGCAGCACCCAGCAGTATACATTCATGGACCCCAGGGCTACCCGTTTGCCCAGATCCTTATTAGTCACTAATCGTTAATCCTTATTGTGCACTTACTCTGTGTCCTTCTGGCAGTTCTCTGCAGTGAGTGCTATTGTTATTCCTCGCTTTCGTGCCCACTTTTTAAAGAGCCACTTTATTGAGATATA